ATACCCAACCCCAACCGAACGTCTCACTGGCCTGTTCTCACCCACTGCAGGGTCTGCGTTCGGAGCTTCGTGCACGAAGTTTACGGGGTTGCTGGCTTGATTTACTTATTGCTGAATTTGGGTTCATCGGTAGAGCTGTTGGTGCAAGAGCCACTAGACGGGGGCCACCGAACTTGGTGGGGCACCACCCCCGAAGGGGTCTAGCCCAACATATTCTCTATTCGAGTCACGGCACCAAATTTGTTATATTTTAATAGTGAGACCACGCCAATATTAATTTAGTAATTTTATTAAGCAAGCAGCAATAAGTAAAACAGCACTGGGCGGCCGGGGAGTTTCCTCCCTCCACCAACAGCATGCAACAGCCCCCCCCAAAGTCTCTTATTCTATACTCTTCTTTTTTCTGGTGTAACGTATCCCTTTCTTCCTTCTGCGTCTGTGCCAGCTGTTGCTAGGGGGTCCTTTCTGCCTTCCAGTGGTCTTGAAGGAGGGGGTTGTATCATTCTCGGTGGTTGGGAGGGGGTTGTATCCTTCTCGGTGATGGTTTCATTACACACATGATTACCAACCTCACCCCAATTCTTCCCCCTATTTTCATGGTTCACAACACAGAACAGCTCTAGGTTCAAAGCAAGCAAGCATGCGATTTCCAACAGACTGCTCTTACAGCAAGTTCTGTTGGTTAATCTTTAAGCAGGCAAAATGAGTTTCAAAGCAAGGAAGAAAAACAATGAAAAGAATTAAACAATCAAAGTTTGATTAACAAACTACAGGTTATCCGTTACAACAGATAACTTTCATGAGGATTACTGCTTCAGGTGATGCCTGCAGCAATTTCTTACCATCTGCCTTTTCAGTGGTGCCCAGTGGCAGAACAATGGGCAGCAGGCACAAACTGGAACACAGGAAGTTCCACCTAAACATAAGGAAAAGTTTCTTTACTTTGAAGGTGCAAGAGCCCTGGAACAGGCTGGCAAGAGCAGCTGTGGACTCTCCTTCTCTGGAGAGATCCCAAACCTGCCTGGACATGATCCTGGGCACTGTGCTCTGGGTGACCCTACTCTGGCAGGGGAGTTGGGTGAGATGATCCCTAGAGGTCCCTCCCAACCCCTGCTATGCTGTGGTTCTGTGATCCTGTGCCTTGCTGAAAGCTAAGCACCTGCAAATCACAGCCTCTCTGCTTTGTAGTCTTGATATCCCCAAAACCCAATCTTTTTTGCTTGGAGGCAGTGAGGTGCTGCTCGGCAGCGTGTCGCTGGCTGTGCCTGGCTGCTCGGGATCCTTCCAGCCCTTGCCACAGCAGCAGCCACGAGCCGCGTGCGGAGGAGTTGGTCCTCGTCCCAGCGCGGAGGAGAACTGGCTCTGCCTTTTGCAAAACAAGGGCTTGCCCTCTGGGTTGCCTGGTGCTTTGACATCCCGTCTCCATGGCAGTGATCAGCTGGCAAGGCTGATAAAAGAGGCCCTCTCCCCGGGCTGGGGCCAAGCCCGTGCTGCTGCGGCCGGCGAGGCAGCTGCGGCGGCAGGCAGCGAAGAGGCAAAATGGCTCTTGCTCTCCTCTTGGCAGCAGTCCTGGGACTTCTTATTCTCAAGGCTGTTTTGTTGCAGCTGAGGAAGCCCAGCTCCCCTCCTTGCATCAGGAGCTGGATCCCGTGGTTTGGAGCTGCGTTTCAGTTCGGGAAAGCTCCTCTGGAGTTTATAGAGCAAGCTAGAAGGAAGGTAAAGGCTCTGGCGGCGTTCCTGGTTGTGGGTGCGTGCTCAGGGTGGCTGCCTGCAGGGGGAAAGCCGAGCAGAAACTTCTGCACTGAGTTTGCCACTTTCCTGTCACGCTTTGTGACGCCGGGAGCATTTTGCTGGTGCAGGGACAGCTTTGTACCAGTAACGCCGCTAGCTTGTGGATCCAATCCAGGCTGTGGTCATCCTGTTTGGAGCCAGCCTCTGCTGTTTTGTTTTTTCAGTCTGGCTACCTAACACAGATTAGCTATGTTAACCTTCATTTCAGATAATGCAGAAAGCCCTGTGCCAGGTGCTGGAACCAGGAGACTAATTATTTACAAAGTAAATATTGTTTTTAAATAAATAAGCCTGAAGTTAGGTGAGATTTCTGAGTACCAGCCGGTGTCCCTCAGCACTCAAGAGAGACACAGGCATGCTTGGCAGGCAGCTTCTTCCGTCCTAAAAAACTTAGCAAAATTGAGTGTGAAGGTTTACCCCAAGACATGCTTTTCTTTCTCTCTGTCTGTTAGAATGAGCCTGAATTGTTAATTTAGATTAGATGTTTATTTTCTAGGCAGCTAATACTGACATAGAACCCACTTTCTTGTTTTCATTCAGTGATGATACCACCTGCTACCAATGCCTCAGTTGTTCAACATGAAATGATCACACAGCCCACTACTTGTAAAAACTAGCTAAAAATGAAATCACTGTAACAGCCAGAAATCTGAAAAAAAAAAAAAATTAAGAAATACTGGTTGTTTAAAGTTTGCTTTGTCATTTTGAACTATTAGATTTCGTACTTGTAAGACTTCTCTGCAGCCATGGTTGTTATGAATTTGTGGTGTTAAATGAAAGCAGGGGTTTAAGGATAATCAGCTGAAGTATGAGGTGTAAGACCATCAAGAGCTGTCTATCTTGTGTTAAAGCACTTTGGGTGCACCACAGAGTAAGCTCATGTGTATGATCTGGAGCTCCTTGGCTTCTTTGACCTGAACAACCCAGTTTTAACCTGACATTATTATGTCTTTCCTGTATCTTTCATCTATGTGTACCATGATCATTTCATTCATCTAAGGGGAGAAATGTGGGACTGCAAATAAACTCATTCCAGTCCATTCTCCCACTATTTCAGAAACCACGCCATATAATCCTTTAAATAAACTGATCAAGCCTCACTTTAAAAAAGGCAATCATAATATTTATTTGACTCTTCAGATAGCAGGCTGTTAGAGAACCTCCTTGCTGTGCTGAAAACAGGTCCTGGTGGCAGCCAGGTTAAAGCAGCCTGCCAAGCTGTCCTTTCCAGTGCAATCCCTTTTGGGGACAGATGTTTCACCATGACTTAAAGCTTGCATTAGTTTTTTTTCCCCCAGGTATCTTTTAGCAAAATCTCACAGATTAAATTTTAAAGCAAACCTAATAGAAGAATCTTTTTTGGGGGTTCGCTCACAGATTGAATGAGCAAAACTTTTACCTGCTAAAGGATGTGTTGAAGTACAAATGCAAACTTAGTGGTTCTGGGTCCATTAATTTTGATGTTCATTTGCCTGGAGACCCTTTAGGCTGATGTTGGTCTTGTGGCAGCTGCTGACTCCACAGAACACACCAGAAATACCTGAAGGACTTTACAAGCACCAAGTTTTTGTTGAGACAGAAACTAGAACAAGAAATTTTCAGTGGGAGGAAACTCAAAATAAGGCAAAGCAGAAAGAGAAGGCCTTCTTACATATCCCCCTGTACTGTGTGTTTGCAGATAGGACCTTTCCTTTGACATTTTTCTTAGGGCAGCAACTCAGCATCTTTGTGACTTGTGACCTCTCCCCGCGGTCCCCCTGGGCCAAGAGGGACCTTTCCAACCCTCACCCACAGGCTGGCTTCCTGCCCACAGCAGGATCATCAGGCAGTCTCCCTGTCCCTGGGGAGGGCTCCTTCTCTTGCTCTCCCCTCCCTGTCCTTAAACACCCCTGGCATGTCTCCCTCCCTCCCTGCCCACCTCCCACACTGGCACCATGTGCTGAGGCCAGCAAAGAGAAACCTTTCCCTTCCTGCTCCCTTCTAAAGGAGTGCACCCTGCAGCACAGTACAGCCAAAGAAAACAGGCCCTGCTGCCAAAGGGATCACTAACCAAGGGGTTGCAAAATACTGTAAAAGGGGTTGCAAAACACATCTGCAATAATTACAGTATTGTCAGAACAAGGTTAGGTGTCCTTAACACGAGCAAGCTGCCCTCATACAAGTTTGTGCATAAACAGGCTTTAGGCAGTGTGAAACTATTTCACCTCCATAAGGTCACTGCCTTCAGAGGAGACTTCTGCAATTAGAAAATTCCTCCCCTGGATTAATCCTTCATTCTGTCAAAGTGACACTCATTTGCTTTCCTTTTTGAAAGAGTTAGCTTCCTTATTGTTGTCCCTTTTGTGTATGTGCCTCACTGCTTTTTCTCTCAGGCCCTGGAGTAACACACCAGACTTCCACTGCTTCCAACCTGCTCTTGCCTTGAAGTTCACCATTTCTGTTTCTGTTTCCTGCAGACAAAAGATGTGGGCTGGAAGAATTGTCTGATTTTCCACTTGGGTCTAGAGTAAGGTCCAGAGAAGAAGGGCAATGAGCTGGTGAAGGGTCTGGGGAACATGGCTTATGAGGAGCAGCTGAGGGACCTGGGATTGTTTGGTGTGGAGAAGAGGCTGAGGGGAGACCTTATTGCTCTCTACAACTGCCTGAAAGGAGGTTGTAGTGAGTTGGGTGTTGGTCTGCTCTCAGAGGTAACTAGTGATACTACAAGAGGAAATGGGCTCAAGTTGCACCAGGCGAAGTTCCAGTTGGATATTAGGAAGAATTTCTTTCCTGACAGAGTGGTGAGGCATTGGACCAGGCTGCCCAGGGAGGTGCTGGAGTCACCATCCCTGGAGAGGTTCAAAAAATGTGTGGACATAGTACTTCAAGACATGAGTTAGTGGTCACAGTAGTGTTGGGTTGATGGTTGGACCTGATGGTCTTGGAGGTCTTTTCCAACCTTAATGGTTCTATAATTCTGAGAAAAGAAAGATCCCCTGCTGTAATAAAATATTTGATCTCTGGTCTAGTAGAAGGTACCACCTTTTCCTCCTAAAGCTGCCTGAGCAGTTAAAGCAGTCTTGCAGACAGCCTGAGCCAGGCAAGGTGGGTAACCAGAGCCACCATACCTCACAGAATGCATGTGGAGCTGCTCGATGAGGGGCTCACAGGATGGGGTTCCCCACCTTGCCTGGCAAAGGTGCTAAAAGTTAATAAGAATGTCAAAAGCTTCTCATCACTTTGCTAACAGGTTCGGTTAAACCCATGAGCTTGTTCTGCTCTGTTGTGTGGACCTGTGATCCATAAACCACTGTCAGTGTGCTGATGGTGTCTGGGACATGGTGCCGTGCTGCAGGACTCAGCTCAGTGCCTCTCAGACATGTTCTGTGTGTGGCTGCATGAGGGGTGGCTCCTTGGGCTACATGGCAAGGGACATGCATCCTCCATGAGGCTGGGTGGAGGAGAAACAAGCTGGAGAAGAGGACAAGGCTTCTAATGGAGTGTTTCTGAGGACAATGTCCACAGCTGAGTCACCAATGGCCTGGTCCCATACACAGAAGACCAAAATGCTAAAGTCCCTGAGGTGGAGAGGGGACATGGCATTGAACTTGTGAGTGTGTGTGTGTGCCAAGGGAGAGCAAACCAGGCAGTGCACCTAGGTCAACACGAGTCCTGACACAACTGCAGCTGTCTTAGCTGGGAGGGGTTGCTCCCTGCCTGGCAGTGCCCCTGGGGAAAATGCCTATTTCCCTGATTTCCTTCCTTTGGGATTTTGGGGAACATGCTTCTCAAGTTTTTGTTTCTCTGGAGCGTTACTTCCATGTAAGCTCAGACTGCCTCTTGTCATGGCACTGCTCTTTTGTGTGGTGTCTCCCAGTCTTTGGAAAGAAAGCTTTCAGAAATGACAGCAGTTTCATCAGCCCTAATTCCTAACAGGATTTTTGTTTTGGTTTCTGTATGTCTGTATGTCATCAGGTGTCCTTAAGCACTGCTTCAGCCCAAGCAGTGAGCTGGGGCGCAGCGTTGGCAGGCAGTGCCCACGCCTCCCTGGTACCCACCCAGGACACAAGGATGGCAGATGTGGAACTGCTCGACACCTGGTTCCAGTATCTGATTTCATTACATTAGAGCATCACCTAATTATACCAGGACAGATGAAAAGTCTGTTTGCTCAGGTGTCTCTCTTGAATAACAGCTATTAGGAGCACACCCAGATCAGGGTATGCTGACTTCTGCTTTTCTCTCCCAGCTTCTGGCTGTCAACAATTCAGGGACTTCCTAGGCTGGAATTTGCATCCCGATACCTGACTACGACAGCCTCATCCCTTTCCCTGCCCTGTCTGTAACTTTGGCTTCCACAGCACCCCACGGCAGTGAATCCATAAGTTAACCATGCTTGCTGGGCATTCCATTGCCTTTCCTAGCTCAGTGTATCCTGCTGAGATGGAATGGACAGAGACACATTAAATTGAAGATGTGGGCACAGGATGGGTTTAGATATTTGCTGTCCTTTCTCTGCTCCTTTCCTAGCAGAGTGAGAGCTCTAAATCAGTTGTTAGCACTTGTATAAGAGCTCTTGGGGTCATTTCAGAATATGATTCTTCTAGGCTGCTGCCTTCTGTGATGTTTCTAGGTCTCCTCATTGTTTAGGCTCCCAGACAAACCTTTAATTCCTTCTTCCAAATAATTAATTAGGAATGCTTTTAAGGCCACACATCCTTATGTCTTCCTAAAAGCTGTACTGGGCTCCTCTTCAGTACATCCTATTTGTCCACTGCTAATCCTGGTCTTTGATAATGCTTGTGAAAATCTGCAGAGTACTGGAATGATGCTTTGAGGCTTCCCCAGGTCCTCTTTCAGAAGCCCTATGGAAAGGCACTACCTCTACCTGTCCATCCTCCTGTTGCTGAGGGTGATTTCACAGGTCACATTTTCATCCCTCTGAAGTTTTAAATACAAACATTTATCACTGATTTACCTAGCACTTGTTTAAGTCTGTTCTACTTAATACTTCCTTTGAAACAAGGTCTCAGTGAAAGACTCCAGGGTGGGACTTGCCTTAAATTGATATAACTGCTAACTCAGATTGTTTCCCCACTTGGTTTCTTTACACCTTGAGCATTTGTCAGGGTCAGCAACACAGTGGGAAGTTTCCTGCTTCTGGTACATGTGGAAAAATCTTTATTATTTGGGATATTTTTAATTTCATTTTTGTTTAATATTGCTTTAATTTTAATTATTTTAAATAGATTGCAGGAAACTGGATGAGATTCAAAACCAGATTGTTTTGTGTAGGTGTTTACAGGTAACAAGATTGCTTCCTCAGGTTTCCTAATTTTCCTTCATTTTCCTTAATTTCCTAATTCTGATTTTTTTTTTAATGCCTAAATCTGACAGTCAATAGATATTGCACGTCTGTTTGCTAGTTTAGAGTATCTGCAAATATCAGTGATCTTTTTCACAATGTAGGAATTCAGAAGGGGATACTTGTTGCTGAAAGATTTGAGAGGGCTCTAGGATATTAGATTAAGGGAAAAAGAAAGAATGATTTACAGTATCAAAAAACTTCCCTGAATATGTCTCAACAAACTCCATCTGTTGTGCTCAAAGCTTGTTAGCTATCTTGATATTAATCTTTAAACATCTGTAAAAGAAAAATCATTGGTATTTGCAGAACCTTTGAGCTAGAAAAGAAAAATATTGAAAAGGTGCAAGAGTGGGGAATTTTTGTGAAAAAAATGTAGATTGAAATAGGGAGGATTATGGATTTTTACGATGTGGGCACTTTGCAATGGCAGCCAAGGGATGCAGTAGATAATCCATCACTTGGGTTCTTGAAATCCAGGTAGGTTGTCTTGTTTGAACTGTAATGTAATTCCAATACAAAATGTTAATCTCAGGGAAGGAATCTCTTGTACTTTACAAGAGGTCAGGCAGGCCCTGTGATGTTCCCTTTGGGTCCATAAGTCTACAGATCTTGGTCTGATTCATGTTCATCTTTGTGCATTCGGAGCCAAGGTGTGGAGAGAGTGGGAAGGACCAGGCCCTCCCTCCTGACCTCTCAGCAGCACTGAAGTCCTGCTGGGGCTCCTGTCAAACATGGTAACACTGCAATAATATGAAATCTTTGTTTTTTTCCAGCATGGGCCTGTGTTCACAATATTCGCTGTGGGAAAACGGTTTACTTTTGTGACTGAGGAAGAAGGAACTGAAGCATTTTTCAAATCTAAAGACTTAAATTTTGAGCAGGCAGTACAACAAGCTGTCGAGAATGCAGGTAAATGAGACCAAGCTCTTTTTTAATGGAAACCAAATCTAGTTACCCAGGAACATGAAGGCCCAATCCAAAGCCCAATGGCCTTTTGGCCATGCTTTATATGCCTATCTTAACCCATGACAGGTGAAATGAAATTCCTTTATGCAGATCCAGCACCGTAAGCCTGCAACACGGTTTGGATTCAGCCTCAAGGGATCACAGGTTTCTGAACCAGGGCCTACTATTACTTTTATCATCAAGCAGCCCCAGTTTGGGATCAGGTCCTTTTCTGCAGCTAGACACTCCACCTGTGTACCAGGTTTGGAACAACAGTATGTTGTGCTATCACATAGTTTGACAATCAGCTTGGAGCAATAGCTAGTTGTTAACCTGCCATAGATGGTCATTAGAAAGGAATGAGGTGTATGCCACATCCACATGCCATGCTCACGTGCTTGTATCCACATGGAACCACACAGACAGGAATTCTTTAAGTAGGTTGGCAGTTTTGGACTGTGAAATGAGAGAGAAGCAAGCCGGCAGAGAGATTAAATCACAGAATCCCTGTGGCTGGAAGGCACTGCTGGAGGTCCCCTGGTCCAAGTCCCTGCTCAGAGAAGTGTCAGTGACAGCAGGATGCTCAGGCCTGTCTGTACAGTTGATTTTTTAATATCTCCAAGGGTGGATTCCAAAACCTCTCTGGGAAACCTGTTCCTGTGTCTGACCATCCTCACAATAAAAACTTCCCTGTGTCTCAGTGGAGTCTCCTGTATTCCCATTTGTGCCCATTGCCTCCTGCCCTCAGAAGAGTCTGGCCTCATCTTCTTCACTCCCACCACCAGATATTTATCCACACTGATAAGATCTGATGAGCCATTTCTTCTTCAGTTCTAATGGTCTCAGCTCTCTCAGCCTTGCCTGCTATGACTGAGAGGATGTACCACTATAGCATGAAGAGCCAAAGTGTTTTTGTCTTGGATTAATTCACTTTTTATTTCAATTAGTTTTGAGAAGCTCATGCACATCTCTGTACATCATCCCTGAAGCTGGGGGCAAATCTCTGGATTGTTGATTCTGGCACTGAAGCTTCATGAGAGTGGAAGATGTTACACAGACTGGTAGTAGCAGAGGGCTCACCAAAATCTTTACAGACTTAGAAGGAAGATTTCTGGGAGTTACACACCAGGAAAATGAGGGTTAAAGCATTTAAATTAGAGTCACAAGTTATGTGTAAAAATTTTCACTCTTTCAGTGGCAATCTACTTCACCTACTTTCCAAAACATTTCTGTTTCTTTCTGTATTTAGTTTCTGTCCCTGCAGAAGCATTTTATCAGAACCATGGTAACCTCTACAGCATGATGAAGGGAAAAATGGGTCCTTCTAATCTGCACATGTTCACAGGCACTTTGTGTCAGGAACTACAGGAGCACATGGCACAACTGGGCACAGAGGGCACAGGCGACCTCAATGACCTGGTAAGGTAAGGGAGTTCTGCAGCACATCTCTATGGCATGGCTGTCCTGTAAGGCAGCTGAGATGGGACTGTACAAGCAGCTGGAGATCAGTCTCTCAGGTCTTAGACAAGCTGAGTCAGGGTATTCATCACTGCTCCACAGTTTCAGGTGGTTCACAGAGTACACAGGGTTTAACCTAAAGATGTTTCTCTCAGCTAGGAGAAATATCAGAATTACCTATCTGGAAGAAAGAAGGAAACACAACATCTTCCACCAAACCCTGTTTCCCAAAGATGGGATAAAAGCTTCACAAGTTTACAGAGAACTCTGACAGAAGCCATCTTCAGCA